ATGACTTCATTATGACTGGCCAATTGCTCCATTGATAATATAAATAAAAAAGATAACAAAAATATTATTTTTTATTTTTCTTCTAATTTTCAATGTGTAATAATAAAGTTTTTAAATATATTAACTAAAAATGAATAAAATGCATACTTTACTAGTATTAAGTAAAAAATCATTTTTATTCAACTTAATATATCAACTAATATCATAAGTGATATTATAAAAGATATAAAAATAATAGATTTTACAAAATCTAAATAATATTCTGAAATACCAAAAATACTTAAAAAATGTGATACTTGTGTTTTGAAAGATATTATACAAACTGATTAATTTTTCTTTTGAGTTATATAATAAATAAGTTTAATACTAACTTTAAAATAATTTTACATTATAATAATTTAGAAGTTACTTTTATGATAAAGATCTTAAAAGTTATATTGCAAGAAAAAAAACTTTATTAACTAAAATTATCAAATTAATCATTTAAAAAAAGAATTGAATAAAAAAATAGAAATAAGTAATATGATTAAGTAAATCAAAATTTGTTTTTTTTAATCAGATAATTGAATAAGAGTATAAAATATTTCTGAAAAAGTATATAATAAAGATTATATTTAACCTATAAATTTGAAAGAAATCAATGACATAAGTTAAATTTTTGATTATATGAGAAGGAAATATAAATTCTGATATATATGTTAATATTTTGTAAATTATTTTATCCTATAAATTGACAATTATCTTAATTCTATTTTTAGCAAGATAGAATATTATGTCATATTTCAAATAAGAAGTATTAAAGTTTTAATATTACAAATAGAAGGTTTATTTAAATAAATTTGATTGGCAAATGAATAAAAATTTTATAGATCAAAAACTATATTATTATTATAAATAAATATTGATTTAAATAGTTTAAAAGGGGCAAAATAATTTTTAAACTAAGTTAATTTAAATATCTGATATAAATTTTGTATTTAACAGTTTTATGATGCAGTAAGTCTTCTTTTATAAGAATAAAAATTGTCTTTAAATATAAAATAATATATATAGAGTTTAATATCTAAAAATATTTACAAAAGTATATAATTATTTAGAATAATAAGATCACCATTTTTTATGATAACTAGATCTTTAATTAAGTTAAAATGCATAAATGTATATTGAAGGTTATAATAGTTAAAATACATTTTTGAAATAACTTATATTATTATATTAATTATTTTAGTAATAAGTTTAATAAGTTCTAATTCTTATTTTAATATGTCTTTTAAAAGATTAATAAGTTTAAGTATAAATTAAAAACAGAACTTGGTATTTTCATTAGAAAGTAAATAAAAATGAATTTAAATAAAATTTTTGAGAACAAAGTAATTTTTGACTATAATAAAATTAACATATTTATACCTTCTGCATATGATATTATGGCTTGTTACCAAAGATTTTGATAATTATCAAACAATAGAAAATCATTTCAAATTTGATAAATATTGATCAAATTACGTATAGACCCCTGTTAAAAGTCTCTGAACACTATTTTTTAGGTGTAATTTTATATGGATAATATTATGTGACTTTATAATACTGCAGTCATATGACGTTTCAGACTTTATTTATATAAGTCAAACCTAATAAATGCGCGTTTGGTTTGTTTATTTTGACTTTAAATCAAAATAAACTTTAATCTTCTGAAAACAATGAAAATGGTCCAAGAATTAACAGCAAAACAATACGGCACTATATTTTTTTGCTATCAATATAGCGATAGTTACTGAATTATTTTCGAAACTATCAGTTATGGAGTGTCAATAGTATTTGATACTTTAAAAAGGATAGATGATACCAGAACTACTAATTTGAAGTCTCATTCCAGTTGACCACCTCTTATTGAACCTTCATAATGAAACTGACTCAAACAACTTGTAACTAATGATAAAGGAAAAAATTGTTGCTTATGCATTGTAGAAGTTCAACAACTTTGGAAAAAAAAGGACTGGCCAAGATGTTTTAGCTCGCACTATTGGCTGAATACTTCATGCAGTTGAGCTAAATAATTGTTTTACTCGATGAAAATCTCTAATCTCATCAGTAAATATGAAGACATGTCTTACATGGTGTTTGAATCACTAAAGCTGAACAAAGGATAATTGGTCAAAAGTTATGTGAAGTGACAAATCGACCTTTTCTCAATTCCAACAAAGTCGATATAGTTGAGTGTGATGGGAACCTTAGGAAAAATGAAACATTTTCTTATGTTTTTGCTACAGTGAAATACAGCCCTAGCCAAATGTTTTGGGATGCTTTTCAAGATAAGGCTTGAGACCTATTATTCCATTATTTAGAACAGCAAATAATGCTTTACATGTTATTATCCTTTATAAGCACGTTATACCAACTATGAGATGTGCATTTTCAAATAGTAATAGTATATTCTAGGAGGATAATGCTCGCCTTCATAAAATGAAACTTGCAAAGAAATTTCATGCAGAAAATAATCTGTGCATACTTTTATGGCTGGCTCAAAGTCCAGACCTTAATCCAATTGAGAATCTGTAGGCTGATGTCAAGAAAAGCATTTGTGAAAAAAAAAGCCTTTAAATCTTGCTGAATTCGACCGATATGTTAAGAAGGTATGGCGAGAAATTCCTATACATACTATTAAAAATTTGGTTGATAGTATACCACAGCAAATTTGAACTGTAATTGAAGCAAATAGAGGCCTGACCAAGTACTAATTACTTAGTACAAAATGTATAGTATATCATACATTAATAAATATATTAATAAACTTTTTTCAATAAACTTTAAAATTTTGAGTTTTATATTGAGCTAAAAGTTGTTCAAAGACTTTTGACAGAGGTCTGTATTTGAATATAGAAATTGAAATTCTTAAAAAGAAAAGGTTATTTAAGAGGTTTTAATTTCAAGTTAGCTATATCAGAAAATTTAACAATAAATACTTTACATCTGCATAAGTGAAAAATTTAAATTAAATAATTTTTATTTTGTTATTCAAGTTCTACTTGACTAAAATATTAATAAATGAAGAAAAATTAATGTTATTGAATATATTACAAATATAGTTTATTTTTTTCTTATTTAAATTTTCTCATAAAAAAGGTTTTAGTAGTATAGCAAATGTAGAAAATGAAAGTGTCATAAATACGTTTAAAGGATAAAATATTAGAGAAAGTCTTTAGATCTAAGTATATTTTAATAGCATTATAAGTTTAGTCTTTATCTATAATTGTATTTGTAATTAAAATTTTAGAATAAGATATAATATTTTCTATAGATTCAGAAGAATGATTTATTTTCATATTAGCAAATGAAAGGTTAAAAACTTTTTTAATTTAAGAAAAACTGTTATTATTCAAAGAACTTAAATAGTTTAAAATAATACCTATTTCTTTTGAAAATTCTTGAGATTTTTTTTATCTACTGGTAAGTTGAAATAACTACAAACATTTGTCAAGTTTTTAGATATTTTTAATTTTTTGAAATTTTCTATATTAAAGTGAAAAAAAATTTTTAATCAAATAATGTTATTAAGTTTTTCTTTATTATATTTTACAATCTTATATCACTATCATTTTAATATTGAAATGATATCAGAATGATATTTATTTAATATCTTATTAAATATTATAATATTATTGATATAATATTAAATTTATATTTAATTATAATCTAATAATTATCAAATTAATATTAAAAAATGTAGTAAAAAGAGACTTAATAATATTTATTTAATTATTAATAAAGTGTAATTATAATATTATTACTATTTTAATATGATATTAAATTGATATTGATAAAAAATATTTATATTTCTATAAAATAAATAATATATTATAAGTTTAAACCCTTAATTATATTTTTTATTTTTTTAAAAATTTCTGTTTTATGATAAAAACTTATTTAAACTTTATATTTAGATATTAATTAATCTTAAAAAAAAGTTGATATTAATTTAATTATTAAAAGTTAATTATTATTTATATTAATAAATTTAAAATAATTATTTATATGATAATATGATTACTTTGCAAAAAAAAAGAAAAAACTTTTAAAAAATTCTTTTTTACTTTATAATATAATTTAAATATTAATTCAAAAAAAGTTTTTTTTTTTCTTTATAAAATATCTATATAAATATATTAATAAATAATTTAATAAAATAATTAATTAAATATATTTAAAAATTATTTAATATGACTTAAAAAAATATAATTTAAAATAAGTTATTTTTAGATTTATATATAGTAATTTAAACTTAAATTTACCAATAAAAAAATTAATTGTAATATTTTTTAAATATAATCTAATAAGACTAAATAATTTTGATAATATTATTATTTTAATATATTAAAAGTATGCTAAACTGAATTAAAGTAATATTAATTTAAAAGAAAAATATATTTTAAAAAAGTTATATTAATAATAAAGTTTATATATATTATTAAAAATATTTTTACAATTTTTTTATATTAACTTTTTTAAAATTTCTAGCATTTTATTTTAAAGAATTAATATAATCAATTTTATTTTATTTAATAATCTAATTTTACAATTTCTTTTAACTTTAAAAAAATAAAGATCTTTACTTAAATAAATCTATATATTTATTTTTTTACTTGCTTCTATTTATATGTAATAATTTTTATTTTTTATTTTATAAAATAAGAAGTTAATATTTTTTAGCTTTAACATTTAATGTAAATCCCATATTATGTTTATAATATCAAAATTTAAATATCATATTAATTATAAAATTTGCATTTTTGAGATTAATTTAATTTCTAAATTAACCTATTATAATCATTTTTGTATTATATTTTTTTGCATTGTGCAATGTTCAATCCTAAAAATAATGTAAATAACACGACAAATCTTTTCTAAAATTGTAAAACTAAAAAATATTTGGATCACTGTTAAATCACCTAACATATAACAAGTACCGTATTTGTTTTTGTTATTTCTCATAACTCTCCTTCAAAATGTTTCAGGACTCCTCTGCTTGGTTTAGTTCTTCTGTAGACCACACATATATCGATCTTTGGAGTATGTGACTATATTTAAAAAGTTATTATTATTATTACTATTATCGTTGAGGAAATGTACAATTTTTATTACTTTTAATTATTACGTTATTAGTCAGTCAAGGTGGAAGCGTCGAAAGTACGTGTAATGCCGATTTACTCCCAGAATACCTATTTAGCTGTGATCCAGAACAACAAGATACCCTATGGTATTGATTCCTTAGATCATTACTTATTATTTATTACATTTCTCTTAAATAAATGTTTTGAAAATTTTCTTGTTTTAAGGATTATTAATAATATCTCGTATATGGTCATTCATCCGGATTGGATTTTCGACACTATCTCAGAAAAGGAAAAAAAACCAATCGAGAAATATATTTTGGAAAATTATAATTTCTGTCAGTTGAAACTTGAAAACTTTACGTTTGATTTTTTAATGATTTTGAAATCAAACAGTTTCAATATCTAATTAATTTCAAATCTAAATAGCGGATGAGATAATCGATCAAAATCAGATGAACGTCGACAAAATTGCTTCTTTGGCTTATATTGCTGATAATAGCAAATCAAACGATGAAATTAATTCAAACGAGACTACGGACTTGGCAAATAATAATCAATCCAATGGCAACAATTACATTGTTGCACATTCTACAACGATTCCTAATAAGATATATTTATTACCACGGAAACGTGCAAGGAAAGTTTCCAAAGGAAAAAATCATGCTCAAGACAATAATACACAACAAGCTATGCCATCACAGATAATGAATATCCAGAGCGATGATTTGCAAACTGATGATTTGCAAATCGACACCGTTTTACCTGATTCGCGACCAGATGATCAATCTGAGTGGAATATTAAAAGTAGAATAAATAAGTCTAAAAGAGACCGGCCACGTACACTTCCTGATTTTATGACAAAAAAACGTCCAAGGTATGTATCAAAATATATACTCTTTTTTTAAAAAAATAAAAATGTCTTGTTTTGTAAACCTGTTCATTTAAAGGGTGGCTCTTACAAACACGTCGGAAGATGATTCGTTCTTTACAGATGAAGATATAAGGTAAGTAAATTTATATCGCGTATGTATAAATGAAACCGTCATGGTTTACCATTTCTAAATTTCTTTTTTTTACTGGATAGAAAACGTCAAAGAGTCAATTATTTCCAAAAATCCGCTCGAGCATCGTCTACAGGCAAAAAAGCACCATCAATACACTGTGAATGGTAACCATAATTATCATTTTTTAGATGATTTTCATAGAACTTTTGTAATCTCTAATGATTTCTAATTTATTCATTAATTAATAGTGGCAGATCAGTCCAACCGACTATGTCGGTGGAACAGCTATTAACCAGAAAGTCGAAAAAGTAGGATCGTTAGTTCTCTCACATCCATTTATATTGCAAAAACCTAAATTAAATCTAAATTTTCTATACAGTCCACCACATATTTCAAAAGAGACCAAACCTATTTCATCAATTCGACTTCAACATATATCAGTTAGATATTTACTTGAAAAGGTTTCTAAATACCTTTCGTATGTAAAAGGATCAGATAGTAATTTAATGGACAATGTTTACGAATTCACACCTGGGCAGAATGGGTTCTTTGCACAATCAAAGTCAACAGCAAATTCTCGAGTATCTAATGCAAATTCTCGTGGTCAAACTCGAGGAAAGTCATCCATAAGAAAATTTAACTTTTAAATTTTCCACTTTGCAGATATAATCATCAACTTGTACATAAATAGTTAATTTAAGTATCACAAAATTATATACACGCGCATATTGTATACCTAAATAACAAATCAATTCTTTTTATTGCATTCCATTCTCATTTATATTACAATTAAAAGTGAATTCAATAGGAATATTATCATCATCATTCTTGTTGCACACGAGGGGCTTCAGTCAAACCAGATAGGTTTCTTAATGAAATATCATATACGACTACATAAATGGCAATAAATCAATAATTATAAAAATCAAAAAAAAAAAAAAAATGTTGATAAAGTATTACCTTCTTCAATTTTCTTAATATGATACTTTTTATTATTATTATTATTATTAAAATAAAATTAGAAAATTGTTTCAATTTAGGATAAACAAAAAAAAAAAAAAAGAGATAATTAACATACCTTAATGGCATCATACCTTTTTCTTAATGCATCATTCTTCAAGTTTAATAATTGAAATCCTGTATATAACTCTTTAACAAATTTTGAAATTCTTAAAGGTCTATTGTAATCACCTGATGTAACTGAATTTACAGCTAAACGTGACTAAAGCAATAAAAGTTATTAGTATCAATAAATTAAAAAGTAACTTAATATAATAATAATAATTTACCAATTCGTTAGTTAAAGCAATGAAACTGTGAAGAATATCTTCAACTGATATATGAAAAGTTTGTATATCATTATTTAAATTTACTTTGACTTTTTATTTATAATTAAAATAAAAAATAAAAAGAAAAAAAAATGTGAGCGATGATTAATCATCAATAAAAGTAAAATACAAATGTAAGGAATTAATTAATTACCACCACATAAATCTTCTAATTCTTCCAAAGAAATTAATTTTTCAAATTTCAAATATATTATAAGTTCAGCTTGGTATAATGAAGTTTGAAGAGTTCGATTCCACAAATCATTATACCTTAAGGAAAGACAGAAAAAAATTTATTAATAAATTCATTCATAAATAAAAAATAAATTCATGAAACGAACCTATAGTATTGGTGATAAGGTATGAGTTGAGATAATTGAGCTAAATGTTGTTTTACTTCACTATATTTTTCTAGTGCTGTTTGTATAATTCTTGGAACTACAATATCAGATTAATCAAAAAATCTATAAATACGATAAAATTTTCAAAATTAAAGTTAAATTTATTAACCTTCTTCAGGCGAGGCAGAATGAACACGATCCAAAATTGCCGTAATATATCGACAAGTTTTTTCGTAATTACGAACACAACGGAATATTTCCTATACAAGTTTAATAAAATGAAAAAAATTCATTAACTTTTGTGAAATTTAGGATAACTTTGATAAATAACTTACGTCTTTCCGCAATGATTCTTCTTCCATGTTAGTCTCAATTTGATTAAAAAAAGTTAAATCAATTGACATATTTGCTTTTAATTTTTAAGCACGGTAAGGTAAATTTCAAAATTAAGTTCGAAAAATAATATCAAAATAAATTACGGGCTTATTTATAGCAAAATTCTAAGCCACTAAAAAATGTATGATTTATAGGGGAGATTTTACCCACGCTGTCTAAGTCATTTGGTTAGGAAGCAATCTAATGGATTTCTTGAATAAATCAGGTTATTTAAAAAACTTTGTTATCCTGCTAATTAACCTGGTAAAACCTCGTCGATTTCTTGGAATCATGATAATTTGATATTAATGCGAAAATAATTTTAATTGATCTTGTAATAAATTTCTTATAGATTTTTCGTGTATAAATTCAAAATTTTTAGCTGTTAATAATGCGCAATTTAAAGATTTCGGTTAGAAATTGTCCATTTAAAGAAAAATGAAGATTATAAATGAAATTGTAAAATTAGATTATTAAATAAAATAAAATTG